TCAGTCACTAGAGCAAGATAACTGGTTGCTAAGGGGAACCAGGAACCGGCCACGTGATTCAAGGAAGAGGAGCCTGGAGTCCCAGCCCCTGACCACCAGGGAGGAGAGAGGGGCTGTAGGTAAAAAACAAGGCCCCACAAGCAATGATTACATCAACCGCGCCTATGTAATGAAGCCTCCATAAACACCCAGAAAGGAAAGGGTTTCAGAGAGCATCCGAGTTGGTAAACACTGTGGAGATCTGGGGGACAGTGGTGCCCTGGAGTGGGCGGAACCCCGTGCCCTGCCCCCATTCCTTTCTCACGTATCTCTTCTGTCTGGCTGTTCCTGAGTTCTGTCCTGTTACAGTAAGCCAGTGCTCCAGTGACCAGAGGGGTTTCCTGAGTTCACTGAGCCACCCTAGGAAGTTAATCAAACCCAAGGACAGGCCTTGGGAACCTCTGATTTACAGCCAGTCAGAAGCACCGGGGTGACCGGCAGCCGGCCCCTGAAGTGTGTTGGGGGTGGGGGAACTGAACCCTTCAGACCTGTGCCATCTGATGCCCTCCCGAGGGAGGTGGTGTCAGAGGTAAATTAAATTGTGGCACACACAGCTGGTGCCTGAGCATTGCTTGTTGGTGTCGGGAGTTGAGTGTCGGACATTTTCCGTGTGGATACCGCCATCGGTTTATCTGTTCCTTTGCTGAGAGACACTTGTTTCCACTTTTCAGTGCTGTGAAAAATGCTGTGAATATTGGCTTTAAAATATCTGAGTCCATTTTTCATTCCTTTGAGCATATAGCTAAAAGTAAAGTTGTTGGGTAATAGGCTAGTCCTGTGTTTGACCCTTTGAGGAACTGCCAACCTGTTTTCCACCCATCTGCACCATTTTGATTTTGACCAGCAACGCATGTAAATCCCTTATTTTTACAATGATGAAATCAAGGGTAAAACTGGTTAGATAGCCAGCAAGTCAGCTGCAGGGCTGAGATCGGAAGCAAATACCCTGAGTCCCAGTACAGTCCTCTTTCCAAGGTGAACTCCAATGAGATACAAGTCATATGAGCAGGCACATGGCAGCAATGTCTGCACAAAGACTGGGCCATTGGAAAGAGACTCCTTAATACATTTGGAGAAAAGAATTGGAATACGTTCTGGATTTTGCTCTTCATCATAGAATTTTATTCTTTTCTTCCTCAGGTCTAAGCTCTAAGAGAAGATTAAATCATGCTTATCTTTCACCTAATGCCCAACTGTAGAATAGTCATAGACACATTTTTTACCATTATTATACTTACAGTTCTAAAATAAGGGCTTAAAAATATTACATTAAAAGCAAAAATTTTAGTTTTAGAAAAATTGGCAAATTAACAAAAGTGGAAAGAAAAAAAAAGATTACGTAGAGAACTCTCAGAAAAATAACTATTCACCCCTGAGTGCTTTCTGTTTGGTTCATATGGTGGAAATGTAGAATCTTCAAGTTTAAGAAAATTATTACAAATTGGGGGTGCCAAGCTTAAAAGCTAGAACAGGAAAAATAGCCATTCACACCCAAAAACCACAGGTGAGCCCTACTACCAACTCAGCAGCCCTCAGAGTCTTATGACACCCCTTTCGGTGGTCTGTTATTTCTTACATGTCATATGGAAAAGTTTCATGTATCCAATATAAGAGCCTCAAAAGTTTGGGCACAGCTTATACTCTTCTGTGCCTTCCTCCATGCTGCCATTACAGTGGTGCTCCGCAAAGAACTTGTGGAAGCTTCCTGCCAACTTCACATCACCTTCGAAGCTAACACCCCTTGAGTCTCAGATCAGGAGTAACCATTCCATGTAAGAAGTTAGCAGTAATCACAGGCCATTTAAATGTCATCCGAATCTTTGCCTAACTTGAAGAATACTGAGTGGAATCCAGCACGTAACCATAATAGTGCTTCATCTGCTTGGCCCCATTCATCTCCCTGGGCATCTCCAGCCCACAGGTTACTCAAAGCCCTGGTCTCAAAATCATCGCCAAAAATTCTGTGAACTTCGTCCCTGTAGTTCTTGGTTTTGCTTTTCTTTCTCCCTCCTTGGATTTTTAGTGCTTCTTCATTCCAGTAAATAAACTACAGCCCTTTGCGTCATCTTGGCATCCATTCTTGCTTCTTTGGCTGAGCTCTCCTGGGTCACTGATTCTGTATAACGAAGGCTCAGCATGGGGCTGGCACACTCAGCCTCTCTCCTGGAAGGGGACGAAGGAGTTAGGCATGGGGGGTAAGGGCAGGGAGAAATCACAAATGCCTGTAATGTATTCCCTTTTATTACATGATGAAATTCTCATATCTCATGTATTACTTATTTGGGATGGTCTACATGAAAGGTCTTTGGAAAAATTATGTGGTCACTTGTAAAGGCAAAAAAATGAATGTTCTTTGAGAAAGAAGGCCACTGCCAACCCACCGTCCCCTCTTCAGGATGTCACCTTGAGGACACAGCAGACCGGGTAAAAGTGGTCTGAACTCGTGATCTCACAGAGCAGAGTCTTGGGGCTCCTGAAAGTGTAAACACTCTGAGTAGCTCACAGTCTCTCTCGGGTATGATGAGACCATCACAGGGTATGTCCTCTCATCTCTCCTGCCTCTCTTCTACTTTCTGTATAATTTTATGTGAAAATGTCTCCAGACTCTGTAGTCACTTGTAGCTTAAGCCCATGCTATCCCTGATAATGCTTACCCAATACTGAAATCATATTCTTTTCCTCTTCTATGTTGGTACAGAGGGGGCTTTTGTTGGAATCTTTCTGTATAATTTCCCCAACATTGCAATGATCCTCCAAAAAGCAGTTTCATCTCTTCAGCTATAGTTCTTACTTCCTGTCTGCTGTCACTGCAGGTGGTACCCAAAGTGCACTTCTCCTAGGTGAGTGTGGGATTCGGTAAGGCCCAGCACTGCCCAGACGGAGCACCACTCACCATGGAGACGCCAACACATGATCCTCAAAACTTGGTTCCGCTGTGGCTCACTCTGCCCACATTCTGGAAGGAGGCTGCCCTCAGGGACTCAGAGATGATGGACGGGCGTTGAGACCACGTTCCAAGAGTGCGTGTGACCATTCCAGGGTGTGGGATGTGGAACTACCACCCACCCAGTTGTTCAAGCCACAAACCTAGGGGTCAGCCTTAATCTCTCTTCCCATCAGCTGCCACATTCAGCTGACTCCACACCCAATCCACATCCCAGACCCATTTGCCGTTTCCATTGTCACCATTTATGTGTAAGTTCAAGACATCACACAGCCTCCGGATGGGATTTCTCGTTTCATTTTTAAAATTTCATAGTTTATTGTCAAGTTGGTTTCCATGTAACACCCAGTGCTCATCCCCACAAGTGCCCTCCTCCATGCCCATCACCCCTCTCCCTCCCACACCCATCAGTCCTCAGTTTGTTCTCAGCATTCAAGATTCTCTCATGGTTTGTCTCCCTCCCTCTTCCCAACTATTTTTCCCCTTCTCCTCCCCCATGTTCCTCCGTTAAGTTCTTCCTAATCCTCCTATACATGCAAACATATGGTAACTGTCTTTCTCTGCCTGACTTGCTTCGCTCAGCATAACACCCTCAGGTTCCATCCATGTTGCTACACATAGCCAGGTTTCATTCTTTCTCATTGCCACGTAGTATTCCATGGTATAGATAAACCACATCTTCTTGATGCATTTGTCCGTTGATGGACATTTAGGCTCTTTCCATGTTCTGGCTATTGTTGAGAGTGCTGCTATGAACACTGGGGTACATGTGCCCCTATGCATCAGCACTCCTGTACAGGATTCCCTGTTTCTACTCTCATTGCTCTATAGCAGCTAGTATATTTTTTTTAATTTCTGTAGTTTTAAATTTTAAAAAAGTTTATTTTTAAAATGTTTTATTTATTTCTAGGAGAGAGAGAGACAGCGTGAGCAGGGGAGGGTCAGAGAGAGAGAGAGTCACAGACTGAAACAGGCTCCAGGCTCCGAGCTGGCAGTCAGCACAGAGCCCGACGTGGGGCCTGAACCCACGAACCGCAAGATCATGACCTAAGCGAAAGTCGGACGCTTAACCGACTAAGCCACCCAGGCGCCCCAATGTTTATTTTTGAGAGAGAGCAGGGGAGGGGCAGAGAGAGGGAGACACAGAATCCAAAGCAGGCTCCAGGCTCTGAGCTGTCAGCACAGAGCCAGATGCGGGGCTTGAACCCATGAACTGTGAGATCATGACCTGAGCCGAAGTTGGACAATTAACCAACAGGCGCCCCTGGTGTAGTCTTTCCTGAAAACATACATCATAACATGTCACTTTGCCAATTCTGAAATGGCTCTCCATCATATCTAAATTAAACCCCACCCCTCGTCTTGTGCTTCTCTGCCCTCACTCACCGAGCTCCGGCCACAGTGGGTTCCTCTCCACTCTCCCAACTCACCAGGTGTGGTTGAAATGTACTTCCCCTGGTTTTTTCACAGGGCTCCTTTTAGGGCCTCAGCCTGACCCTTACCTTCTTAGAGAAGGCTCCCCGGACTCCCAGTCCTAAAGTAACAGCAGCTTGTTCCTCATCACACTGCTGTCTCCTCAGCACAGCGCCTCCTTCTAGTGGGTCCAAGTGTGTGCGTGCACATGCGCGCCTTGAGTTGTTCAAACCTTCACAGAGCGGATGAAAGCTAAGCCCCATTCCTCCATTCTCGGTGGGAGACAGGAAATACTGAGCAGGGGTCAAGACTGTCAGAAGTTTATAGGGCGCCTGGGTGGCTCAGTCAGTGAGGTGTCTGACTCTGGGTTTCCGCTCAGGTCATGATCTCACGGGTTGTGGGCTCCGGCCCCACATCGGGTCTGCTCTCACAGCTCAGAGCCTGCTTGGGATTCTCTCTCGCTCGCTCGCTCGCTTTCTGTCTCTCCTTTTCTCAAAATAAATAAGTAAACATTAAGTAAAAACTGTAAGAACTTTATTTCAGGTTTTTTAAATTTCCTCATCTTATCTATTTTATCTTTTGTCAATTTCTTCATCATGCTTAGTGTTGAAACTCTTGCCCTGGAAAGTGCTTATGATCCTCACAGCTGGCAGCAGCAGCCTGGGGACTCGCGACCGTGTCCGCATGCAGGCCTGAGGAAGGAAGGGCACCGAAGAGCAGGGAGGCGGCAGCGATGTTAACGAGAAGAGGAAAGTGAGCGGAGTCCCTGTGGCCTCATCCAGAGAAGAGCCCATGAACAAGCTGAGACGAACCGGTGGAACAGCCCCGGGGGCGTTCCCGTGCCCACCACCTGAGGCCTCTGACCTCGGATCTCCCCCTCCTCCCGTCCTCATGACAGGACATGGTCCTCCCCGGAATACACACCGAACACTCACCACCGCCTCCTCTCCCCCAGACGAGTGTGTGGATTCAGACAGCGCCCCACTCCCTTCTGAAGAAGTCACTCCTTCTAAACTGTTGTATGCCCAGAACTTTCTTGTTTGGGGAGCAAAACCCAGGTGTGCAGGAGTTGATGGCTCTCTGCTGTTGGATCTTCACCTTTACTTGAGTTTTGCTTCTTGTATTCTTACTTTTGCTCTTGTCTTGATGCAAAATTCCTGCAGAGCGCTGAATGTAAAATAGATACCCAGTAGACCTTTTGAATTAATTGTACTCTGGGGCAAGAAACATGAAGGAAAAATGAAAAACAGGGAGGAAGAAGGTGTGAGTAGAGTAGGGGCTCCAGAACACAGGGGAAGAAAGCAGAGGCAGAGAAGAGGGAGGAGCCCCCGAGAACCCACTCGCCCTGTGAAGACTTAATCACCGTGCGTAAGCACATGCTGTCAGTCTGCTAACAGGAAGTTGACAGAAATGGCCACAGACCAACTCATACTCTTTTGTTCAGTCCTCCCACTGCCTTATTAGCTGCTCCCTCACGGTCTCAAAGCCTGGAAAATTCAGATTTGTTCCTCATGCAAATACTGAATTATCAACAGAATGGTTTATACATAGCTAGAAGGCAGTTACCTGCTCACATCTAATCAGATGAGCATTCTTTTATTACCTCTTTTTCTTTGAATGAGTAAAAATTGTGGGATGTAAGGAATTGCAGTGATAAGACATGAAATCTCTGTGTCTTTTGTACAGATGTAACAAGCAGCCTCTGCCATTCCTATCTGGAAACAGTGCACCTTGCAACCACTCACTGGGGTCTGTCATTTTAGGAGGCAGGTAGGTCTGTGCTATTTGCTGCTATTTCCAGCACCTGGCACCATGCCTGGTACATGACCTGTGTTCAGTAAATTTTTGGAATTGAATGATTGAATGATTGAATGAATGAATGAATGAATGAATGATGGTCCAAATCTCTGCTTCATCCTTAGGTGACCTGAAGTCTAAGACACAGGCGTGTGGAAAATACAGAATGTTAGGGGGAAAATAAATCACTGAGGGAGAAAAGTACCAGAGTTTGCCCTGTTTATGTCCACACCAACTTCATTGCACAAATACACATCGGATGCCTTCTGGATGACAGGAAGGGCGCTACACTCACAGATACAGATAGGAGGACAGACGCTCATTCCAGTGTGTCCTTGTCCGTATCACATCGTGGCATCCACCACGCTGTGTGTCAGAGACTAGACTCTGCCTACGCGTCTGTCCTGCCACGAGACTGCCACGTCCGTCAGGACACTGTCCGCCACACTGTAAGCACTCAGCATTGACAGAGGATCCAGTGGAGATTATAGCCTTCCGGGGCAAAGGCGTATGCAACTGGATAGAGCCAGGGCCCTTAGACGGGAGAAGAAAAGCTGAGCCGTGCTGACCTGGCGGAAAAGGAGGGCGCTGGAGATGTGGCGTAGCTCTCAGAGTTGGAGAGTCCTGACGGGGGCTCAGCCTCCAGGAATAATGACCCTGCAACACGAGTCCAGTGAGAAGCCGTGTCCCCTGCAGCTTCCCACCGGTGCCACGCCTGCATCAGAAACTGGGCCGAAAGTCCCCTGCCCCCCAGGGAAGGGGTGTGGCTGTGAGGGCTGTCAGCAAAACCGCTGCTGTGCTGGAATCCGCAGAGCTGGGTGCTCTGTGGCAGCCTGGCACCTCTGTCCACTCACACTGGGACTGAGGCTTCATGTGCACGAGTCGGGCTGGCAGAGCCTCTGGCACATCCTGGAGCCCAGCTGCAAAGGACGCTGGGGATTTGAGATCGAAATGCAGGCAAGCTATTCAAAAGATGGTGAATGGCCATAAGTACGACCAGTGTCCGCTGTGTTACAGCGACACGGGAGCTGAACCAGAAACCTGAGTCCACAGACAGCCTTTGGTTCCCATGGGTCCTCCCTCCCTGCAGGAGAGAAACACCGAGCATATGCATGAGCGTAATGACAGTAGCACTAGAGGCAACAGAGACACATATAACAGGTGGGGTCTCCAAGAAACGCTTTTCTGAGATGAGCAGAGAGCTAAATGACATGAGGGGGCGACAAGCAGGAGGGCTCTGATGTGGGAACCGATTTGGCATTTCTAAAATAAAAGGAGGCTGGGGCTGAGCAAGTGAAGGAGGAGAGCGCAGGGGACGGGGCGGAAGAGCAGCCGGGGGCCATGCTGTGTAGGGCCATGACTTGGGGCTCTGGAAAGTGCCGGGCAGGGGAATACTCTGGCTGCTTGGGAAGTGGGTGGAAGGAGGGTGACCAAGCTGATCAGAGTATGAGCAGGGAGATCTGAGCCCCAAAACCTGCCTGGGTGTCTGGGGAGAAGAGAGAGGAAGGGAATCTCGAGAGGTGACTGAAAACTGACCAGGAGAGGAGGTCAGAGGCATCCTGGTGCAGGGAAGAGCAAGAGCTAAGACGCACAGCACAGAAGGCCCCGGAACTTTGAGGAGTCCGGTGAGGTGGCAGAGAGGGATCCAGACGTGAGGCTGGGAAAGCGGGGGACAGCGAGATCGCCAAGGGCTCCTGTGCTGTTGTTTTAACTTTTCACATCACCAGGGTCAAATGGTGCAGTGGGGGGTTGGGGGGGGACAGAACTAGATCTCCCCAGGGAGGGCGGACCTCCTCTAGGACTCTGCAGGAGGACAGGAAGGACACTCCCTTGCCCTTCCTCAGCCCCCTCACTCTAGAGGAAACTGTGGGGCTACCCACAGTCCTGTGCAGTTACTACCAAAACCAAGCTGGTGGTGCCGAAATCAGACAACAGAGATATGAGGCCATCCAGGTCAAGGTCAGTTCCAGGAGAAACTAAGTTCACATTTCCACCCCAGATTCCCAGGTACTTGTATTCTCAGTACAAGTACACTGATTCTGAAAGGAAGATTCAGATGTAGGATGGTTGAGAGAATAGAGGGGGCATTTCAGAAGGAGAAAACGACGTGTGCCAATGCCAAGGAACCGGAAAGCTCCCGTGTCCATGGGCGGCCAAACCAAGGCTGGAACGACAGGCTGACCCTGGGTTGCGAAATGCTTGGTCAATGAGCTAAGCAGTCGCCAGAGCAATTTATTCCTACACCAGACTCCCCAGTGGAGTAACCGAAAGCTACATGTGCACGGCTTGCTCCAGGGTGGAGGCTAGGGAGTGTTTGCCGGGAAGGGCGCCCTATCCAAGCTCTGCGATCAGTGATATCCATACTGATAGACTTAGCTGAGATCAGAAAGTAGTATCCCTCCTAACATAGTTTTGGGAATTTGACATTTAAAAGCAATGAGGTGGCCTTTGTGACCTGAAATCTGGGTCAGACACCAAAGATCTGCAGCGTGTAGAGTGTGGTAGGTTGGGGACGCACAGGGGTTTTAAGGGTCCTGGATCCTGCTGTCTTCTATGGCAGTTGAGGGGCCCCCCTCAATCTTTGTCGTGTTCCCGCATCGGCTACCAGTCCCTACAGGTCCCTTCAGCGTTCTTAGCAAGAACAAAACGCTGACTTTACAGTCGCTGCAAGTCAAGACAAGTGAGTGGAATCACTCAGAAGGCTTAAAAGGGACTTGGCCAAAAACTGTTCCAAACAGGTTATTCCATGTGAACGGGGGCAGCAGCCCCCCGGGAGGGAAGGGATGAGCTGGGCCTGGGCGGCTCCACTCCCCAGCTCTTGGGGCTCCCCGCACATCGCCCCTGGGCCCTTCAGGCCCAGAGCTGCCGGCACGGGCGGCCGAGGATGCGGCAGCGTGGGGTACAGGTCCCCCGTGGAGAGTGCACCGGGCCTACAGAACCGAAATGGAGTCGGGGAGGAGCTGCCCAGTACGCAATGGCTTCTGTCCTCAGGCAAGCTCCTCCGGGGATTTCTTAGGATAGAACAGATGCGGGGCCTTCCCGAAGGCCAAGTGGCGTCAAGACGGCTGCACCTGTGTAGACATCGTGGCTGCCTTACGCGTGGAATTAAACTAGGAGTTTGTACAACCCCCCACCCCAGCCGAAGCTGGGTCCCGCGAAGAGAAAGCCCAGCGGGCCACGACCCCTGAGGGAGGCCCCCGCGCTGCCCCGCCGGCCTGCAGCTTCCGTGACGCCGCCGGGCCACGCGCCGGGCCCCACCGACCACCACCCAACACCTCCTTCCGCCCGCTCTGGTCCCCCGCAACCACACTGCCACTTCCGAGAAGAGAGGAAACCGCCGCAGCGTCCGGGGCCCGCCCGCGAGTCAGGGGGCCTGGCGCCTCCGCGGCGGCGCGTCCGGGCCCCGCCCCAGCAGAGCTCCGCCCCCTGCTCGCCCTGCGCCTCCGCCAAATCCCGCCCCCGAGCCCCGCCCCTCCGCCAAGCCCCGGCACCGCGCCCCGCCCCGGCCGCCCCCGGAGCCCCAGGCCCGCTCCCGCGTGCCGGCCTCGCCCCGCCCCCCCGCCGGGCCCCGCCCCCGTGCGCCGGCCCCGCCCCCCGTGCCCCAGCCCCGCTCCCGCGTACCCGCCTCGCCCCGCCCCCCGCCGGGCCCCGCCCCCGTGCGCTGGCCCCGCCCCCCGAGCCCCAGCCCCGCTCCCGCGTACCAGCCTCGCCCCGCCCCCCCGCCGGGCCCCGCCCCCGTGCCCGGCCCCGCCCCCCGAGCCCCAGCCCCGCTCCCGCGCCCTATTTGGGCATCTGGGGGCGGCCGGCGGCGGGCAGGCTCCTGGGAGCCGGCGCCAGAGCGCAGCGGGGCGGCGGTGAGGCGCGGCCGACGCGCCGCCGGGAGCCGCAGGGAACAATGGGAGTGGGCGCGCGCGGCGGCTGGGCCGCGCTGGTGCTGTGCGCGCTGCTGGTGCTGGCGCTGCTCAAGGCCGCCGTGGACAGCACGGGCCTGCACGGTAGGTGGCGGCGCGGGCCCCCCGGACGCGGCCGGCGGGGGCCGGGGAGACCGAGGCGCGGACTGGCTGCCGTCGCAGCCCTGGAGGGGCGCGTAACCTGTTGAGTGACCCCGGGGCGGACGGAGGGCGCGGGCTCGCGGTTTCCTGTCTCCCTCCCGCACCCCGAAGTTGGCGTGTCCTGGGGGTAAGTGCCCCCGAGCCCCCCCTTCTGGAAGCTGGGTCGCTGTGCTGCGCTCCCGCGCCGGCGGACCCTGGGGAGCCCTTCAGCGTGGGGCCGCGCGGCCGCGGACTGAAGCCCCCAACGCGAGGGGGCCCGTGGGGGGCGCGCCCCCGCCCCGCGTGGTGGCACCTGCCCCGGCGCGCACCTGCCGCGCAGCCCTCGGGCCGCCGCCAGGTGTGCGTGCTCCGGGCGCCGGGGTTTCCTGGTTCGGGGGGAGGAAGGGCCAGGAGGCGCGGGGTTCGCCGCGCACTTGCCCTTTGTCAGCCACTGTCGCAGTCGGGTCACCGGGCGGTGGACGGTAAACAGGGTAAGTTCTTTTCAGTGACCCAAATCCTCCGTAGGTTTACATTCTGTCCAGCTGCTGTGTGTTGAGCAAAAGGTAAAGGCTGCAGTTGAGGCACAACACCTGCTCCGGCTGGAATAATCTCGGTGAAATTAAAGACAATACCACTTTTTGTTTGTTTGGCTGTTTTATTTGCTCTGCTGAATTGTGCATGTCCCGAGCCGGCTTTGCAGACCGATTTTGACCTCATTTAAGAAAACAATGGTCAGTAAATCACGTCCATCATATTTTCGATATTATGAGATGTTTCACTGTAAGGTGAACAATCTGGACTGAAACAGTGTATTTTGGTGCTAATTTTATGCCATTTTTTAAATTTGTTATTTGTGAAAGTAAACTTTATTGTTTCTCTGATGAATTTCTGATTAGAGAAACCGAGTGTCCTTGCTTTATTTTTTTTTTTTCCCCGAATAACAGATTGCCTTATTTTAACACTCACTGTTGCACCGTTCTGTTTACTACTTGGATATCTTGGGACGAATCTCTGCTGCAGGAGAGCCTTCATTTCATGAACTAGTACAGTGATTAGGTCTGTGTGTACAGACCCTAATGTCACTGTGAAATTAGAGTAGAAGGAGGCTCCGAGAGAGAGCTTCTCAAAACAAGGAAACGTTTCCCGGCCTTCACATATAGTGTGTAATGTGTATGAAGTATCCTTGTGAAGTACACTAATTTTTAACAATCATACTAGAGCATTTACAGTATTTTTAGCAGCCAGTTTCCTGTGTACCGCCTATTATGCTAATCGAGGTACCCACGTCATCCTGATGGAACCTCACAGTATTATTCCCATTTTATAGATTTAAAAAAACTGAGGCTTAGATATCACTTAATGTTTTACTCAGAGTTAAACCGCTCATACATGTTTGATTTCAGAGATTAAAATCCAAACTCTTAATTAACCATTTTGCCACTAAGTCACTTCAGGTGGTATTGGCTGTTCTCATAGATAATGGCTCAGTCTCCAGTGTGCTCTTAACGGAATAGTGCAGATCAAAACATTGAAATTCTTCTCTCGTTGAAAATACCCTTCAGTCCGCTGTGCACTTTATAAGCGTCTGGAGTTGGAGGTGTTGGGGAGGCCGTGGACGGGTTAGGGAAGCAGGAAGGACAGATGGCGTGGGGTTCGTCAGGGCTCTTGGCGGTAAGTCACAGAAACCCACTGCAGACAGCCTGAGGGGAAGGAAGGGACCTTCTTGAGTCTTGGACAGAAAAACCCGAGAATTAAGGGGGCTTCAGAAATGCAGGCTTCAAGAGTTCACACAGGTTGCCTGGAGGTGGCCACTTCGGCTTCCTTGGTTACATCTGTCTGCTCTCAGGCAAACCATAGTTCAAGTGTTCTCAGCCTGGGGTGGGGAGGAGGGCAAGGGTCAGGGAGAGACTCCAAATAACAGGCACTTTCTAAAGTGAGTCCCAGGCACCAAACACCACCCTACTGGGCAGCCAGTTAGGAGGTTAAATTAATCCTTAGTCTGCACCTCTCGACGAATGTAACTTTCTTTTCCTCCAGTCAGCACATTATTGTATGTTAATACTTGGTCTCTCAGTCACACAAAGCATCAGCCTCTTTGTAGTTAGTCGCTCCTTGTCTCCTAGGATGCAAAACCTGCCTACCCAGGTACCTGCTTCATAAGTAATTGACTGCAAAAAGGAGAAAGGCCCTCAATCTACAAGAATCCTCTGCTTTTGTCTTCTTTTTCAAGCAAAAAAGGTTGCCAGGAAATGATGCCGAGACACAGAAACAGGCTCAGCAGTAGCCCAGGAGAAAGACAGTGGCTCGTTGATAGCGCAGAGAAGTGCCTGGCTTGCTTATCTGTTTGGGGTGGAATTGAAATCCCTTGCTAACAGAGGACTGGGTGAGGTGGTGGGGAAGAGGAGAGGTCCAAGCATGACCTCTGGTTTGGGGCTTGAATAATGGAAACACGACAACTGAGAAGCCCGGGAGAGAAGCGGGTGTAGAGCAGAAAACCAACAGCTCATTTCCGGCGCTCCAACCCAGGGGCTTTGCAGCCCAACAGCCTGGTACACATACAGTCTCTGCCGCTTTCTAGCGGGTGACCTTCTCTGGGCCTCCTCCCTGTCACTGTGTGGTGGTGTTCCTTCTAGGATCCATTGGCAGCGCCAGGGAAGCCAGTGCCAGTCACCTGCTTCCCCACAGGCCTGGCATGCATAAGGCTTGTCACAATATCGGCCAGTGTTCGATACCAGCTGCAGATATGTGAGCACAGTACAGCAAGGCGACCAGGGGACGCTGGGACACTGCCTTGTTTTCACTGGAAGTCACTTGTTTGTGAATCAAAACACCCGCCTTCAGGGCTCCCCTTAGCTGGCATCAGTAAGAGATGGTCAGCTGGCCTTGATCATTGGGTTTATCTTCACACCACATCCTTTTGTGATAAATGGAATAGTTCCATTAAGAGGAATGTGCAGGGGAGCCTGGGTGGCTTAGTCGGTTAAGCGTCCGACTTTCGCTTAGGTCATGATCTCGCGGTTCGTGGGTTCAAGCCCCGCGTCGGGCTCTGCGCTGACTGCCAGCTCAGAGCCTGGAGGCTGTTTCAGTCTGTATCTCCCTCTCTCTCTGACCCTCCCCTGCTCACGCTGTCTCTCTCTCTCCTAGAAATAAATAAAAATATTAAAAAAAAAAAAAAGGAATGTGCATACACAACGATGATAGATCCTTCAGCGTCGTCACTGGCTACTGCGCACCTTACTGGGGTGTTTGGTCAGGGAGTGCTATCTTGGCGGATAATTGCTCTCTTTCCATGTTTTATATATACTTTATATTGAGTGATATATAGACACAGGTTGAATAAACCTCTCTGAAAAGTTGTTTAACTGGGGCATGGAATTCTTCTAAACTTTTCCCAAATCTTAAGGTACTAGTTAAAAGTGGAAGGAATCATATTTCTACAAGAAGGCTTGCAATTAAAAGTGAAATCCTAAGAGTCTAACATCCACAATATATAAAGAACTTATTTAAACTCAACACCAAAAAAATAGAATTAAAAAATGGGCAGTAGACCTGAATATGCATTTCCGCAATGAAGACATCCAGATAGCTAACGGACACACAAAAAGATGCTAAACGTCACTCATCAGGGAAATGCAAATCAAAACCACAAGGAAATACCACCGCACACCTGTGACAATGGCTAGAAAAAAAGGCAAAAAACCCCCCCCAAAACCCAAAAAACAGGTGTTGGCAAGGATGTGGAAAGAAACAGGAACCCTCATGTACTGGTGGTGGGAATGCAAGCTGGTGCAGCCACTGTGGAAAAGAGTATGGAGGTTCCTCAAAAAGTTAAAAGTAGAACTAGCCTATAACCCAGCAATTTTACCTCTGAATGTCTATCAGAAGAAAATGGCACTTATTGGAAAAGATGCATGCACCCTTAAGTTTACTGCAGCGTTATTTACAGTAGCCCAGATACAGAAGCAGCTGAAGTGTCCCTCAGCAGATGACAGAGAAGGGGTGTGTGTGTGTGTGTGTGTGTGTGAGATGGAGGAGATGGAGTATTCCTCAGCCATAAAAAAGAGTGAAATCTTTTGCAAACAGCTTTTGCAACCACATAGATGGAGCCAGAGAGTATAACGTTAAGTAAGTCAGACAGAAAGACAGATGCCATATGATTTCACTCACATGTGGATTTTAAGAAACCAACGAACAAAGCAAAAAAGGCAAGCTCCAAAATACTGAGCATAGACCGCTGTCTGCCAGAGGTGAGGTGGGGAGGAACGGAACATCCTACCTACCTCATCTCCTCTCCCCTGCCCGAAGTCAGGGTCTTGGAGGTCAGGACCCCCCGGGCACAGCGGTCAGTAGCAGGAACTGGTCTCCGGCTGCCCCTCGCTGTGTCTGCGCACAGGTGGACGCACGTCCCATGTGTTTGTTACACAGCTGCATGTTTTCTGTTTCGAAAGATCCAGGAACACGGCCCCATAGTTCCCGACACCTTCAAAGCGTGTTTCAGAGCAACAGCGACAAAAGCGGACCGTGCTGTGGACACCTGCCTTCCCCCACAGCACCACCACCGATGCCGGCGGTCTTATTGAAATATCAAATGTTTTTGCATCACAGGATATCTTTTTACTTTTATAGGCTCTCCGGACTCTAAGAAGCTGTTGACTCCCGGAGACGACAGTGCTAACTCAACAGGTGAGTTTGGAAGGGGCGCAGAGCACGGGTTTCCGTCGGTCTCGGGTACGGAAAGTCGTACAAGCAGGCGAGCACGTGGGGAGGAGGTGACCCGTTTGAGCCACGAGCCTCTGACTCGTGGGTCCCCGCAGCCTCCCTCGGGGCTGCGCTTAGGCGACGGCTCCCGGTCCGGCGGGGACGTGAAGGCAAGCTCAGGCTCCTGGTCCTCCCGGAACGCGTCCTGGGCCTCGGAGCCCACTTAGGAGTGAAGGTGTGGCGCTGTGCTGGGGCTGAGAGGTCCGAACGCTTCAGGCCACCGCGTCACCGGTGCAGCGAGCCTCCCAGGCCTGTCCGCCGCGGCCGACTCGGGGGAGGGGGACCAGGGGGACCTGCTTACGTTTCAGCCGCCGGCCGGGTTGCAGCCCATGACTTGCTTCCCGTTGAAACAGCGGGTGAGGCGCTTCGCTTGTCATTTCCCTCGGGACACGTGGGCGTCTTGGCTGCATCTGGAAGCCACGCTGATGCCATGGGCGGCAGCCGTGAACTGTCACGGCGTGTGCCTTGCACTGAGGTCGAGACCAGAACAGGTACCTGGATCCTGTCACCAGACCCATAGCCTCCCCTCCCCTTCCGCGAATATTTACACAGGGTCCGAATGTGCGGAGGCGTCCTGGGTGCCCAGGGCCCGGGCTTGCCCAAGCTCTGACTTCTTGGAATTCTCGTGGGTTGCTTTGTGTTTTATTTCATTGTGGAAAAATACACACCATGTGAAACTTGAGTTGTCAACCATTTTTAAGCGACTGGTTCAGCGACATTTTGCACGTTCACACTGCGGGACCATGCTTCTCATGGCCCCTGCCTCCCGGACAGGCTTCTGGCTGAACAGAGAACCCTTTTATTTTAGCGTTAGTAATTCCACGGGAAATTCTCCGTCTGGGGAAAGGACTAGATAGACTGCCCCCAAATGTAATGATGATTATATGAGGGTTTTTAAAAATATCTTACTAGGTTATTAGGTGGCTTTTCCTATTGGCCTTCACTGAACTCCTTCAGTACCACTGAATGTCAACTTCGCATGACCCCAAGAGGTAGAGGAAGGGTGGTAGTGAAGACCATGTTAATTGCTAGCATTTACAGAATGCCTGCAGCGTGTAAGAAACATGGCACACGTTTGCTGATCTAAGTGCAGATGGGGTGTGGTTCTGTGTCACCCAGGAGACAGGCCCAGAGTGGTTTAGAAATTTGCCTGAGGTCCCATGGCACATCCAGGATTGAAACTCACTTCCTGGGATTCGAAGCCTGGGCGATTCACCGCAGTTCCTGAAGCTGTGGTGTGGCCTCACCTTTAAAAACACTGTTCAGTGAAGAAACACCACTGGTGACAGTTGTGGATGGTTGTTAAGATCAGCATCTCCAGTGTCAGTGGGATGCTTTCAAACGCCCCCTCCTCTGGCACAGGGAAGGTCATGGGGGAGGAAAGCGTGGCCTCGAAAGGTTTTCTAACCACATCAGATAATACAGCTGCTATAAAATTTTTCGGTTCAGTCTGTAACACTTTCCATAACTTATTACTTCCTCTTAGGATCTTGAAACCCTATATAACATGTTGAGTTTGTGTGTTTTTGTAAGACGTGATGCTTAATATTTTCATAGACCCTTCTAATATGGGAAACTGTGTTTTTGAACATCACCAATTTCCTTGATGCTGTTGGTCTAACGTGGGTTATTTGGCATTGATTCCAAAAGGAAAATAACACATTTCTTTAGCGAACTCCTGTATCTTGTGAACTGAAGGAAGATGTTCTTGGATAAACAAACTGCCAGCAATACTGCTTGGGACATGGTGCCTTCCGTTTTATAGGACTCAGCACATTAGATCCAGCAAATCTTTTTTCTCTATTTTGTTTGTTTTTAGTCTCCATCTAAGTTCCTTGAGAGCAGCGTCTGTGACTTCCCATCCCAACACTGTGCCTGGTGTATAGGAGGTAATGCACACATGTTGGTTGAACTGCATTGTGGAACCAAATACGTATTTTATCACTGCTGAGCCATCTCAAAGAACCACTGCATGCTTTTTGCACACGTGACTGGTCCATGCTCCAGCATTCTCCATTATTGTAGCTGTTTTGGTGTTGAATAACATTGATACTTGAGGTCAGAGAATCAGAAGTTGAGGTCACTTTGCAATTGTACCACTCAATTATATGTAAGGGTTGTGTTTTCATATGCCCTCATCATCATTTGAGGAGTATGAGCTGTACTTTTGACACTCTTTTCTGGAAGTGATTCTACAGAAGTTTTTTTTTTCAAAAATTTTTTAATGTTTTTATTCTAAGAGAGAGAGAGAGAGAGAGAGAGCGAGCAGGGGAGGGTCAGAGAGAGAGGGAGATACAGACTCTGAAAGAGAGAGAGAGAGAGAGAGAGTGTGAGCAGGGGAGGGTCAGAGAGAGAGGGAGATACAGACTCTGAAACAGACTCCAGGCTCTGAGCTGGCAGTCAGCACAGAGCCCAACACCGGGCTCGAACCCACGAACCGCGAGATCATGACCCAAGCGAAAGTCGCACGCTTAACCAGCTAAGCCACCCAGGTGCCCCTCTACAGAAGTTTTTAATTGGAGTAACCCCCTGTCGCTGGTGCTACCCCACAGCAGCCGGTTACCATCCGGGCACCAAGCATCCCTGGTCTGGCCCTTCCCACGCCTGCGGTTGCCGTGGTTTTGTCCCGGCTGTGGCAGGACCGCAGCGACTCCAAGCTGACAGGTCTGAGACACCTGCCTGTCAGAGGGGGAGGGGGAGCCAGCCCCGTAGGCCGGGGGGAAGGGCGCGCCAGGCAGAGGCAAGTGTCGGTGGGGGTGTCGTGGGACAGGACTGGGGGCACAGGCGGGTCCTGGCCAGCGCGGTGAGGGGACCACGCTGCCGTCGCGTGACCGCGGGTAGGCGATCAGGACCTGGAAGTAGAGGATTTAGGAAGTACGATTCCGTTTGGAGACCTCATAAGTAGAGTGGGGTGGGCTCGTAGAAGGGGAGACCAGAGATGCCGATTGAGGCAACAGTGCGGGCTCCTTGGGCCTTTCCTGGCTGGGTTGGGGACCGTAGGCGTCCAGGGGCTTCGAGCTGCGGCGTTTCTGAATCACTGTGCGCCCCGGGACGGCAGCCGTCAGGGCAGAGCTGGCTTGGTGTTCCGTTTCCCGAAGCCTCTGTCTGAAGCAGGTCGCGGGCGGGATGCAGGGCCGCGGTTCACAGAGAAGCTGCGGGTGTAGACGTTGTCCTGTGAGCCCCCAGAGGCCCCCAGTCTCCGTCCTCTCCCGTGTCTGCGGCTCAGGTCCGGGGCTGGGTGACCGGCCGGCCGTGAGGTCTGGGGAGACCTGGGAAGTGGTGCCTGTCGGCTGCGCTTCGCGGGGTGGACGGGCTCGGTGCTGAACAGGGCGTGGCCGGAGAAGGCGTGCGGGGACCGGGAGCTCCCACAAGTGCTCCACGGAGAAGGGACTCAGAGAAAAACGGAAGTGGGAGGAGTTGTGAAACTCTCTTCCCTTTCAAAGCAGAAGAACCGATCACAGCACCAAGGGAAGGCCCGGGGCCCAGAAGCCAGCGCCCAGACCACCGAAGTGGGGGGGAGTGGGGGCGTTGGGTGACGCGAGCGAAGGGTCAGGGTCTGGGTCCAGCACACCCGGGATGCAGGAGCGCCTCCCCAAACCTGAAGGCCAGTGCACGTCGGAGCTTGGACACAGCTGGGACTGGATCCACAGCGCTTCTTTATCTGTTTTCAGTAAATATTCCTTTTCAGTAGAAAGCTGGTGGACTTGCTCTGGACCCACGACCCACCCAGCATGCAGCAGTGCGGGTACAGTGGTCAGAGTTGCACACTGATGGGCATCAGGTGCTCAGGGTTAGGCTCCTCAGGGGTTTGCTCACCTGTGTCTTTTTTTTTCTTACTATGTAACTTATTTACAGCTAATTATAGAATCCAGGTAAGGCATGTGCACATTAAGACCTTTGACCAGTGCATGAAAACATGCAGAATGTAGCTCCAGACTTCCTTTCTGCACAAGCCCCACCACATCCTTTTCCCAAGTGCTCCGTTCCCGCTAGAGGCTAGACTCCTCGTCCACCCAGACCTCTTCAGGTTCATCTCAGTTAGTGGAATAGCCATTCATGCAGTGTCTGGGGCCAGAGAGGTCTACAGTTTCACAGGTATCCTTCCAAAACATTGTGTCAGCATAATCCTTCAGTGGTGTAGACACTTGCCATTAACATTAAGTGGGTGATCCCACACACACACTCCTCTTTGCCCAGCATGTCTCACTGAAACCTCGTCCTTCCTCTCAGCTACGTGCTAGCCCAAGGGACGGATATAACACAGACCTTATCCTTCCTAATAGCCACGTGCGAGTCCACGGGACAGACATAGCGTAACTCACACAGCCCCCTGCTGACGGTCACCTAGGTTGTCTGCAGTGCTGTGGCCAGCACCCTTTCTGGCCCACGCTGGTGCACCTCCCCACAAGGGTACCCGTGGGCTCTGTCTGCTGGCGGAGCTGGTGAATCAAATGGTGTAATACTTTAACTGGCGATTTTGTTAAATTGTCTTCCAAGAAGGTAGCGTTTGCCCCCACTGGCAGTAAAAGGTGCCTGCTTCCTCCAGACTCCACAGCTCTGGGTAGTAGCAGACAGTCTACTATTTACCGATCTGAGATGTGATTCATAAGGTCTCACCGTTGGAGTTAGATTCCTTCCACTGAGTGGGGAATATTTTCATACTGGTTTTTGGGGAGGTGGTTATGGTTCTTTTTTAAAAACTGCTTTCTTGAGATAAATGTCACGTGCTGTACGTTTCAGCGTTTCTCAGCGTACTCCCCACGGTCCGTTTTAGACCATCTTCCTCCCCTCGGAAGCTGTCCGCCACCGTCTCCGTCCTGCCCAGCTGCAGCCCTAGGCAGGCGTGATGCACTTTCTGTGTGTGTAGATGTCCTTCTTCTAGACCCTGATAGGAATGGAGCCAGGAAGCGTGTAGCCTTTGAGAC